TCTTATCTTTTAAACCTGACCTGCAGCCACAATAGTGATGGTGATTTTAACTTTTTTGCTTTTGTTATTGTCAACAAATGCCTTGAAAAGAACCCCTGCAGTCTCGTGCAATGGAGGAAGAAGTATTCAGATACTTTACTTTAGTAAATGTACCAATACTATGATGTACATGTTAAACTTTTTACATTAAATTAAAGTATCAAAAGGAAAAGTTTCTCATTTCGCAGAATAGTCCCTGTCATGATGTTCCAACACATTCTCTCTCCCAACTCCTCACATATGGACGCTTTTTCGTGCCACGGTTAATATTTCAAAATAAAACTAGTGGTTAACGTTGTGAAACGTTTTGTTTCAACACCGGTCTCCTGATTTAAAGTCCAGTTTCTGGCCCACCGTTCACCCCGCCCACCTCCTTACTCAGACTTTATTGTTAATATCATCTTTTGCATTCATAAATGACTCCACCGGACTTCTCCCAGTGAATTAGTGACTGAAGCAAAGGGGTCTTGCTCATGCGTCCAATATGTGACGACTTAGGAGTGAGGACGGGTTGTATGTTATATATAATACAGTATTATATACAGTATAATACATTGTTGGTTGAGAAAGAGCCAATTTTAAGTATTTTATATCCTATTATGAAGCTTAATTGATAAAATGAAAAACAAAAAGTATGTGAAATACTCCATCGCAAGCAAAAGTCCTGTATTTAAATTGTATTTGAAACAAAGTGTACCTGAAGTATTAAAAGTAAAAGTATTATTTGTTATTACTGCTGATGAGTTAACATATAAGCAGCATTAATCTGGTTGAGATGCAGCTTGTTTTGACTTCTTTACACGGGTAGTTTAATCTAAACTGTAATATTTTACAAGATGATTATGTGATTATTTCAACTTTATTCTTTAGATACCGATGATATTCGGAAATATATATATATGTGTGTATATTGTGTATAAACTGGTATAAACATTGTTTCAGTGTTAAAGCCGCGTGATTAAAAACTTACTGCGCCAAGATGTTGTCGTTTATCGTGAAGTTGAATTTGAGTGACTGACAGAGAGAGAAATCAGCATAAAATTTGGTCTTTTTGATTCAGCTTGGAGTGTTTTGCTGGCTTGAGACTGTGTGTGTGTGTGTGTGTTGCTTTGAAGCTGCAGCTGACTGACAGAGAGGCTGAATCAGTGGAAACTACTCGAGCCCCATTAAATTAAGTCGAGGCTCCGCAGCTGACATTTACTTGTCAGGAAAAGAAAATGTATTTAATTTACTCTTTACATTTTTGTTGGCCCAGGCACACTTCTTCAGAGTGCATCTGGGAAATCTTATAAATTATTTAAATAAAGGCACAGAACCTGAAATACATTTACTTTTCTGTATCCTCGTGGATGTGAGTAATCAGGCGCCAGACAAGATAAATCACATCATGTTACGTTCAGGATGCAGCTGTTCTGTCTGTCTGACGGTCATTAAGACAAACCTTTCCTGAAATCCTCTATGACAAAGAGTTTCATGCACCGCTGACCTCTGATCTAATCTTATTATTAATGCACTTATTATATTCGCTGTGTGGAAATCAGATGGGAGTTGGAGTGAGAAGAACAGAGCAGCACTGAAAGATATTTAATCATGTTCCAGCAGAAGGTTAATTAAAGTTATAATCACTTAAGATTCCAGGCATGGATAGTTTGGTGGTTGGTAGTTACTGGTGGTAACAGGAAGTGCGTTTTACAACTACAGTTTCCACAGTTCAGTTCGAAATGACACGACTATCGACCATTTAGGGCAGTATCTGGTGCAGACAAAGAAAACATGGCCCTGAGAGGGTTCATCGTGCAACGTTGTTTTAATAAAGAACGTTTTTAATTGTCCTTTTTCCATCAAGCTTTGAGCAAAATGATCTGCTCAAATGCTTTTCCACACAGCAGCATTGTGCAGTAAAAAGCTGCAAAAATTAAAACACAGTAAACAGTAAAGGACTGTTGTCATGTTTTGTAGACGCATTTTGGTGATAAATACAGTGTTGTTTCACCACTTGAACACTAATGTGAAGCAGTGAGTCAACACAGCTCTGATACGGCTATATAGAGGTGAGAGGCCGATCTCATTCGCAGGGTGTCACAAATGGACTCTTTGTCACGTCCTTCGGCGTCTGGTACCAACGCACATGGCACCCTTGGCCTAACAGTCGAACGAACTGGGGGAAGCCCTTTAGTGCCATTGTTCAACGCTAAATGTACTGCTATACTGATTACCTTACAGAGTAAGGACGTGGTTTAGGTGGATGGATGGCTCAGAAACCGGACTTTCACCCAGGAGTTTGTTTCCCGTGTGAAAAAAAGGCAACATTTATTATTTTTAGTGAAAAATCATGATCTTTTCCTAACCCCAACGAAGAAGTTTTGGTAGATAACCAAATTGTGATTTTTTTTAACGTTAACCACTAGTTTTATTTATAGAAAGTTTATTCTTGCTAACTTCACCATGGAGCCACATGTAATGCCCAGGGATGAGAACGGGTCGGAGCCGATCACAGAGGCCTCCATCAGTGAGGTAAAGTTATAAACAAGAGTAGATTACATGCTCTGTCGTTTCTCCTTTGTGTGAGTAAAGGCAACCTGAATCCAGCTCGAGGATGGAGGACTCCGCCGCTAACATAAAAATGTCTTCACAGGGAGGTACAAAATGGAAATACATTGAACGGCTAATACACTGCAAAAACTGAGCTCTCAAAAACAAGACACACAAACATGGAACATTAAGGGAAATTTTCAGAGGAATTCATAACAAGTGTTTGTTGCTCTTCCACATCACAGGACATCTGCATAAGGCTGAATCTTTATTTTGAGTTTTTAGTCAAGGTGTTTCAAGCATAAATTCACAATAAATGGCATAGTGTTGCTTCTCATATGTTTGAGTTCATATATGTGAACTAAAACCTCACCTCAATACATCTTTTTTACATTTATTGCTTCCACTACCAACATTTTAATTGGTTGTACTGGCTGCCAGTCATCAGCCTCTACTAAAATAATCTTATATTTTATAATAACATAGCTCATCTGTGATCTCATCTGGAGTCTGAGCTCTAAAGAGTACATGACATCTGCCTCGTGCTTCATATCTATTTACAACCTCTTGCTTTTTATGCATGATTTTGAGTCTATTTTTTAACATCTTCCAGTAAAACCCCCCAAAATGTGTGGTACGCCCTTGTTAGTCACAGTAAAAAACAAGAAAAAGTGAGTCTGCTTGCTTGCAGCTTTTTGTTACTGGCAACAAAGAAACCCTCCCCTGCGATGAGCCTGAAAGGCATCACCACAGGACAGTGCATCACTTTGAAGTGTGTGTGTAGACTGTGTGTGTGAGTGTGTACAAGACTCTGCAGTCGTTGAGACCCCTGCTTTTTTTTTTAAATAAAATCTTATCTCTAGATGGACACACACACATGCACACACTGCACTTTTTGGTCTTGGAAATCCCCTCAGCAGCAAAATAAATAAAATCATGCCTGCAGTGTATTTTCCAGTCAGCTGCTTTTATTAATGCTCAGTATTCTCTAACCCTCATTTAACCGGGTTAGCTGAGTAAGAACATATTTACAGCAGCAGCAGCAGCAGCCTGAGGGACAGGACTACTTACAGGAGGGGTTCAGGGTTTATTCATACACTCACTCACTCACTCACTCATAAAGAACGTTGTTTTTTTTTCCTTTAGCAACGTTGTTTTAAGCTTTTATGTTTGCCATTCGGCCCCTGCGGCCAGTTGAAAGCCAAACAATGAGACTATGGACTTAGAACAGTGGGTTCCAAAAAGATACGTTTGAGTCATCATGTGATGATTTCTTGTGAAACCGTGTATATGTTTACCCCATTAAGCCTCTAAAATGAATAAAATTTAGCTGTTTGAAGAGGGAAAATCACTTTGGTTGAATTGCTCACTAACCACATACGTATTAAAAGTGACGATTGTTTACACGTCAATACTTTTAAGAGGATCTCAACCAAAAAGGTTGAAAACGGGATTCTGTGTTAGAAATGGAGTTCCAAATTGGGAGGGTTGGATCTAGACATGTGAATAAAGATCTTCACTGGTCCACATGGTTCCTAGTAACCAAATGGAGACCCAATGTGGACTGGATTCGAATGATATTCGGCCTAGCCGGGTATCAAATATTTAATAATAATTGATAATTGATATCAAATATTTATGGTTACTGATGGATATTTGATTACATTTTCAGCTGTTTTTCTTTGTAAATGGGTTTTTAAACCAGCCATTGGTGGTTTTAAGTCATTGCGGGCAACGCTGAAAATCAATAAACTGACTGTTTAACAGACGTGTTATTGTATCTGTTCCAGAAAATGTATTTAATATATGTAATTATATATATTAGCCCAATCTAACATTTCATCCGTTTCACCCACCTCTAGGTCTAAATGTTTGGGGTTTATTTCAGATCCATTCCCTTTTTATTGAATATTCCATAAGTCTGCCACTGAAAACATCCAACATTTCTTGACTTGGCAGATTCAAGTATTTTTCAAAATTTCCAAAGAATACTTAAATGATTTATCAGCAATTACTTTTATTTACCCTTTTTAAAACTGTGCTGTTTTAGCCAAAACCAAAGGGAACATAATCTCAGGTGTACTTTCAGCTGCGGTGTGAGCCGTACCACACAAAGGCAAATCCTTTATTACTAGAATTTGTTTAATCAGATTAGAGCGTCCTTCAAAATAAAGATTTTGTTTGTAGAAAAACAATACAATCCTACTGAAAACTGGTGCAATGTGTTGCTTTCAGCCTGTCAGGGTTAAATGTGTCTTTTTTAAGCCTCATCAAAGTCAGAGTTTTTCAAATCCTATAATAAATATTTCTGCCCTTTAGCACAAAAAATAACTTCTCTTAAGAAAAATGGGTTTTACATACTTCCTTGACTATTTCACAGGCTTTATGTTATAAAAGTCTCATTCCACTGTTGACTGTCTCTCTGTCAGGCATTGCTGAAGATGGACTGCCAGGGTCTGGTTGCCAGACTGGTCCTGGATTTCGTCTTGTTGACCACGGCGGTGGAGGTGGCGTCCCGGTGGAGGGAACTGGCCGAGAAACTTGCTCGAGTGTCCAGACAGCAGATGGAGGCTTACGAGGCTCCGCATCGCGACAAGAACGGTCTGCTGGACAATGAGGTGAGAGAGAGTAAAAATCTGGATGTGAATGGTCAGAGGAGAGCATCTGTGTTCTAGGAATTTAAGGACCATGTCAATGGGACATTATGAACCTTAGCAATGTCAAACATATATTGATAGTGCAACATGAATAACTGGATTTTTTGTGGGATAATCATGCAGTAAGTTTTAAAGCAAACTTTGAGGGACCTATAATGTTGTCATGTAGTGTGGTTCTACAGCTTGAGCCCAGTCTGTTGCATCATTAAGAGTATGTTGAATTTGCTGTTAGCAGTTCCTGTTTGCAATGTATCCATAACTGTAACTGGATTATTTTGTTACTGAAGAAAATGTTGAAACATGATGATATTCAGGTGAGCTCTAGAGTTTCAAGGAGTGACTTTTGTGTTTGATTTCTAAGCAGAATTATGGATGGGGGTTTTTTTCGTGAGCGACCTTGGATAATTATTCTCAGGAAGTGTGAGTCACATTGAATCTAAAAATATGATGTATCATGTCTGTGTTCAAATTTTTCTGAGTTTTGACTCTGAGAAGTGTGAATTTGATGCAAATTCCTTTAAAGTACCTTAATTGCCTCTGTGAGTTGGGTAGAAACTCTTCAAGCAAAGACAACAAAGGTTAGTCCGATCTGTTGTTCCTGAAAAAAACAACCTCTCCCTCTTCTCTCTCTCTGACCCCGATCCCAACCCTTCAGTCCATGTGGAAGCCAGCCTACGACTTCCTCTTGACGTGGGCCGCCCACGTGGGGGACAGCTACCGAGACGTGATCCAGGAGCTCCACCTCGGCCTGGACAAGATGAGAAACCCCATCACCAAGAGGTGGAAGCACCTGACCGGCGCGCTAATCCTGGTCAACTGCCTCGATACCCTCCGCAGTGCTGCCTTCTGTCCCACCGGTTATGGAGATTTTGCTGTATGAAGATTTTTATCCACGTGGAGAACATTTTTTAAAAGTCTGTATTGTCTTCTTCGCCTCATGGTGGGAGTTACTGGAACTCGGTACGTCTCGGTCCTAAGATTTGTCTGTGGAGTTCAGTTGATGCTGGTGAACATTCGTTGTCTCTGTCAAGGACGGTCCAACAGGACAGCCTTGAGGACACAAAGTTGGGGATTGATGTCAGAGATTGAAGCTTTGACTGTCCAGTTCAAGGTGCTTGGTAAATCTCTAGGCTTTCCTCAGCCAGCGATTATCTGGTCAGATCTCTTTGTCCTGGTCTCTTGTTTGGACTCTTGGATCAGTATTGGGGCACCGATCGGTTCTTGTTGAGCGCCACTGGACGATATCTGGCTTTTGATAAACTAGAATCTGTTACATTTGTCCTGCTTTCTTTTTCCTTTTACTCTTCTCCATCTCTTTTCTACCTCCGACTTTCTCTCTCTCACTTTCTGTCTTTGTCTATTGAGACTTTCTCGTTGTCTTTGTCAATCTTTTTCTATCCTCCATTATTACCTTCTCTCTTCCTCTCTCGCACTTGCGAAAGTCTCTGTCTCATTACAGTTTGTATGATATGTTATTTCCATTACCACATCTCTCCGTCCACTCTTCTCTCCTTCACCCTCAGGACAAGATAAGCGACCTCAACCACTGACCTTCCCGTACTTTTTAAAAGCAAATTTTAGCCCCATACTCAACTGACCGTGCTCACCATCTTGACTTAAGCATAAACAACATTTCCCTCCATGTATGACTGGCAGTTTTAATTATTTGACTGCCTCTCACTGGCAGGTGTTTTTTCTTTTATTATTAAATGAAAGTGAATCAAACGTTGAAACATTAATTTTGTCAGTAATTAGCTTGCCAAGAACAGTTAGCCCAAAGCTAACTTTACTTGTGACTCCATGCAGTATATCTGTTTATGCAAGATATACTTCTAATTTTTATACTTGCTCAAGAATACAGATTATGTATTATTGACAGTTATTCTGGTGTACAATATTTGGTTTGGTTTGCCCTTGTGGGGTGTAACTAGGGGAGGGTCATTTATGAACACTAAAGTTAGGTGTAGGTCTGATTCTGATTCTAATTTATTGTTGCTAACTTGACTGCGGAGCCCTAGATATCCAAAAAACGATGCTAAAGTGTTACCCAGGTTACCCATAGTTTGAAATTTCAAACTTAAAAGTCAAAATTACAATATTTTTTTCTGTCCAGGTAAAAACAAAACACAAACGTAGCTGAACGAACATCAAAATCCAGTTCCCTGTGCAGAAACTAATGCTCTGTACTTTGATAGACAGCATTAGCCTAGCTAGTTAGCTTACTAACCCTAAGGATTTCTTGCCTATACTATAAGTGCACCATATTTTTCACTGCATTATGTTTTGATTTATCGAGGTTTAAGTGATGAAGATGGAATAAAAATATAGTTCAGAATGATAAACGTGTTTTTTGCAGAATAACTATGATTATTTTCTTGTGGAGGTATTGGAGGAGAGTTAGTGTTTTAATTAAAGACACATCAGCTTGTTGAAGTCCGATCAAACCTATGAACTTGTGAGTTTAGGAGCGGGCCATCACAGTTTCCAGCTCAGATAAATGAAATGTGACTTTAAACTGTGAAAGTATCAGAAAATATCTAGTTTTTGTAAAATTTATATTTAAATTTGGTCTTTGATTTGTATTGTCAAGTATAATCAATCAACTTTGATGCTTTTATTGTTAATTTTAGTTTCTTTTCAATATGTTTTGTGGCTGCTGCAGTGTCCCTGTACGTGTTTGGAATATGAACAGAAAATGTGTGAGTTTATATATTTGTACTTAACGCCGATCGAGTATTGACACATTCTTTAGAGATGTCGTTTCTGTGCCTGTGACAGGTCGCAGATCTGAAATCTGCTCGTTGTTTCTGTTCAATAAAACAGAAAATTTAAAACAACATCTCATGAAAATCACTGTGTGTGTGTGTGTGTGTGTTTGTGTGTGTGTGTGTGCAGATGTTTTCTACAAATACAAGTATTGGAAAGCAAATAACAGTGTATAAATTTGGAGTGAAACATACACACACTGCTGTTGCTCATGGCAGACAGGGTCGTGTTGATGTCTCCCAACTAAATAATTTTGTTTTACGCATTTAAAGTGTTTTTATGATTAAATACATAACTGTGGAATACAGATTGTGGCATTCATTAATTTCTACCATATGTGATTTTGCAGACATTTTCCATATTGTATTGGAAAAGTATTCTCACTAATATTTTGATATCAATGTAACCCATCTGATCCGGCCTTATACTGTACATCCCTGACATGTTTTGGTTAGCTTAGCACAATAAAAAAGTTACCGTAGCCTAGATCAGTTAAAAGTTACGAATGCATTTTCATATCTCTAAAAAATGAAACCACAATGCTTTAATTTGGCAATATTTCTTCTTAAATACACAAGATAAAACATCTTTGGAGCTGTTGGTATATGCTTTTACACCTAGCAGTTACACCTGCTTCCAGTCTTTGTGCTATGCTAGGCTAAACACATCCAGTACCGACAGTATCTGGATGCACAGAGGTATAACTGACTTTTAGTCTTATCTTACTCTAGGTAGGACAGCAAAATGACTTTTCCTTTACACATTGTGCAGAGAGGGGTTGATCAGTTTGTTCCACCTCCATGAATTTGCAAATCGTGTCCCAACTGTGATTCCTTCTGCATAGGAGCGTTCATTAAAGGACTGTGTGCTGTGCTGTCATCGTGGATTCCACGCAGCAGATTCCTTCATGTAAACACACGCACAGGGAAAAACACATCCAAATATCACGCATGAATGCACAAACGATCACATGTGCTAATGCATGCACAAACACCACACATGGATGCACATAAAAACATCTTTGTATGCTCTCCCCCCTAAACACACACACACACACACATAATGTGCTTTAATTAAGGCAGATAATTATTCTCCCTCAGAGGACACCTTGACAGAGTCGTCCTTTGCCTCTCAATGACTAACCCTGAACATTCCTGCCTGTCTCCTGGAAACAACTCCAGGCGTGGCACTATTATGGCAAACAATGTGATAAAGCTCTCCCTTTACTGAGGTTTAAACAAGCTGCTGTTTAAAAAACGAGTGTGTAAATCACCACTCACACTGTGTGCAGATGCGTTTACAGATTCCCTCTGCAAAGAAAGAAAGATGCACAGGGAGATTTCCAACATCCCAAAGCTGTCTAACCTGGCGTCATTGATATTTTCTGCATTAAGAGCTACATTCAGAAGATGCTCTTTGTTCAGAATGTGACAGTCGATAACTCCCATATCACCAAATCTAGCCTATATAATCAGAGGATCACAGTTTTTATTCTGCTCATCTAAAAGCCTGTCTTTCTGTCCATCAAATCAGAGAATCAGAGAGGAAGACAGTTATGTCTCACATCCCTCTTTCCTTTGTTGATTCTGGACAAATTGGCCAGCTTCGAGATGCTTATGAAAATGCAAAACAGGTGGTGAGATAAAAAGCTCTGGGAAGAGGCGCAGATCTGTTTCATCTGGGGGGTTTTTGGAGGATGTGTGTGTGGAAACAGGCCAGGCTGGTTTAAACCCGTGGGTCTGGATGATGGAAAGAACCCTTGAAAGATAATATAACAAAACAAAATATAACTCCTTTATCTGCTTTTTTGCCACGTCTCGCTCCTCCAGCATCGCCCTGTTTTCAGAGACACAGGGATGTTTAGCTGTTGTCATGCGGGAGCTTCACAAAACTTGACTTCCCAACGGTAAAATCTTCTCAAGCTGTCATGGGTGCTTTCTTACCTGAACCATTAACTATCCTCTTCACCGGGGTCACTTCCCGCTGTCCTTTTCAAATGGGACATCTGCTGTTTCAGTTTGTTTTTGTTCATTTTGTGACGTTTCATAAGATGTTCATGGAAATTTTGCGTCTCTGAAGAAAGAACAAATCACTGCTTCGAGGTTTAAAGCTAGCAGCCTCAGAACTAAAATCTCTTTCACAAACGCTGTCAAATGCATGCCTCAGGAGACTCTACATTTGACAGTGTATACCCTAACCCCTTAAAACGTTGATTCTAGCTGTTAACAACAACCCGCATCTGCAGTTTTTGTCTCCACATACTCTCCAAAGTATCCACTTTGCCGTGTTATGTATTTCAAATATGAAGGAAATGTTGAAATCTTGGGAAATACAAATGTGCTGGACTGCATTTCTCATTAGTTACTTCATGTCATGGTCAGCCATGTTGTTGACCCGAGGAAAGAAAGAGTTTTTGGGCACAAACGCAGACATGGAGCAGGTGCTGTTGGTGATGTTTATTGACACAAATGGGGAGACACACAGTGATGGTTGAAGGAGGTAAACCAAGTGGAAGAAACCTAAATCCTAAAACAATTTAGATCCAGAGACAAGTGTTGGTGAGGCAAAAAACAAAGCAAGGTGAGCCATCCATCCATCCATCCATCCATCGTGAACCGCTTATCCTCCGTACAGGGTCGTAGGGAGCCTAGGAACCAACAGATGATAATCCAAAAGTGGCAACGCCAAGTGGAACAATGAACAAGCAACGAAACACCCAACTAAAAACACAGGTGAACATAATGACAAGCAGGTGAAACACATCAGACAGGCAGTGAGAGTGAAACAGGAACAACTTCATTGATAGATAGAACAACTTCAAAGTAAAACAGGAAACGAATGAACAAATGACAAGAGAGACAAGACCTCATAGAAACAGGAAGTGAAATACAAAAGACACCAGAGGGAAGAAAAAAAAACAACTCCTCCAAAAAAAACCAAATTGTGACATTTTATTTGTTCTTATTATAATGTGTTAGATATCGTTGCACCAAACATTTGCTCCGATGAACGTATACTGGCGTAAATGCTTCCAGAGGACAAATTCTAGCTGACCGAGTCTTCTGAGTCCAGAAGAAGAAGATGACAAATGAGTTAACACAAATTTTACCGTGAAATCACAAAAAAAATAAACAACTGTAATGGCTTAGCAGTGAACAATCCCAACTTGAGGTCCACATCTGCTTACCCACCTCACTTAATCACCACCATCTAATGATGAAGACCCCTGGGAAAAAGCTAGTAAGTGGGCCTTGAGCTGTTTACCTACTGGAGCAAAGTTTTCTCCCTGAACTGTGTGTCTCAGAAAGTTACTCCTCCAAATATCCACACAATTTATTACTCCCATTATAACCTTGCTGCAACATTTAATTATTCCTGGACCTTTATTGGGTTTAACTAAACTGAACTCTTTGATTTTACCTCCATGAAAACAATCACATGTCAAACCTGCCATCCAGAGCCCTGAAACGTGAGTTGTTGCATATTCATGCAGTCCATTCACATTTGAGCAAATCACTGTCCAGTTAAGTTTTGCAGTGCTTTAACTTTTGCTTACTTTATGTGTTCACCTCTGCTCTATTACTTAAAGGCCCTTTTTTGCTTCAGCAAACTTGTAAAGAAGCGTGTTTCTTTCTTTTTTGTTTTCTTTTAACCTTTCTCAACATCTGTTAGCTGCTTGTCATCTTTAACCTGAGGAACATCGAGGAGACGATGGAATAAATTGTGTAAAACATTGTAAAAAGTGAACCAGTGAAGGAGGCTCTTGTTTTATGGATGAGAGGACTCTGTGGGCGGTGGGCGAGCGACAATCAAGTGACTCAGCCTTGTTAGAGAGAGAGAGGGGGCGTGCAATTAGTTGGTCTTGTAAAGTCAGGCTGTGTGTGTGTGCGCGCATGTCCATGCCCTGCTTATAATTTGTTTTATTGATCTCACACACATTAGCAGGGAAATCAATGAAGGAGGAGGTCACAGAGAACAATTAGTGAGGGCTTGATGACTCAGGTTGTGTTGCTGTCTCTGTGAATCTGTGTCTGTTTAGGGACTGGTGTTGCATTTCCCTCCTCTCTTTGCCACTAATAAAAAGTCCTGCCTAGGCCACATAGGTGTTTTCACTTATTCTGCCTAATTAGACCTCGCTGATTTGTTGCTGAGGGTCAACAAACTTAACGCACTGGTAAAAACTTCTGCAAGTATGAAGCTGCGAGCAAACGGAGAGCAGCTGCATTACAATGAAACAGGTAAAATATAAGAAAGGGCAATATTGTAAACAAGTTAAACGCCTGTCTGTGTGCAGCCATGATTACAGCTTAACCTTAATTTCATTTGTTGACAGCCTTTAAATGTGGGCAGGGCAAAGGGCAAACATGCACTTTGTACAGACAAACACAATTAACAGTACATGCTGCTAATTCTGTTACACCATGTGTACTGGGTTGTACTGAGTATGTGTACTGTGTGTATTTAAATGCTTACATTTTCTTTTTTAAGTGCTCCTTTTAACTTTTATATCTTAATATATGAGCGCTGTTGGTCTAGGAGGAACGGTACTTCATTCTTGATTGTACGTGAGTGCAAGAAAAACTGAGTTCAGTTTGGCATAAGAGGCCCTTTTGTGTGTCAAACTGAAACAAATTGGAATTGCAGAGTCTCATCCTGTTATGAAATAGTTTGCTGCCATCCAGTGGCAATTTCACATGTACCACATTGCAGGGGGGTATACAAATATTAACATGATTTACACTCATCTTTACCATTGTGGGTTTTTTTTAAATGAATGAAAAACTGTTAATTAGATAATCAACATGCCTTCATTGTTGTTAGATGATTATTATTGTATACATACGTGTACGCTGTGTGTGTTGTGATTATACAATGTCACATATAATATATTTTACATAATAAATAATAATCTGTATATTACAGAGCCTACAGCTGGTCTGAGCTGTTTTGGGGCACATCAGTACACAGAACAAGACATTTTAGGTAATTTTAATGTTTTTCTTAAAGCAGTTTTTAAATGAAATGTGTTTGTTTCCTTCTTGTATAAAGTAACTAAATAGGAACAGCTACTAA